GCAAACAAGCTGGGGTTTGAAATGAGACCAATTTCCTCACCCCTGCTGGTGCCCAACACCCCCCATCCAGCCCCCAGTGCCCCCCAAAAATAACAAACCCAGCTCCCTCCTCACCTAAAGGCAGCGAGGATGGGGCTCCATCACTGGCAGCTGGGTGCTGCAGGAGGAAAACCAGAGCAGTTCTGATGATGCTGAGTTAAATTCTCTGGTTTTGGAGCCTGCTCAGCTCTCCTGAGCCTCCAGCCTTCTGCTCTCATCCCCGTGCTGGGACAAGGGAGAATGAGAGTGACAGAAATGCCTTTGTCAGCCTGGGAAGGAGGAGGGTGATGGAGCTATTAGTGAGCACAAAGACAGGACAGATTCTCTCCTAAGTGCTCTGGGGACAGAGAGATTTAAATGCTCAGCTCCCATTAATGCTGATGTGAAGCACAGAGGTCTCTTCTTGCTGCCTTGGAGCAAGAGCACCGAAAAAAAAAACCCAAAAAAAACAGATTTCCGCAGAGAAAAAAAAAATCCCCTTGATTTTAAAGCACCGGTAAATGAGATTTTCTTCATTTCACACTCATTAATTTCCCTGCCTGTGCTGGTTGAGGGTTCAGCACAGGGAGCTGTCAGGCTCATGGATGACCCCATGGATGATGTCCCCATGCAGAATTCCCGACCCTAAAAAGCCACAAGGATTTTTTTTTTATTTTTTTTTGTCACATCCCAGGTTGTTGCAGGGAGGAGAAATCCTTCCAGCGTGTGTCAGAAATATTAACAGCTCTTGTTAATATTTTTAACAATTAATTATTGTTAATATTTTAACTCTATTTTAATAATTGTTTTCCAGTGCCTAAAGGAGCTCCAAGAGGGATTTGCACAAGGGATGGGGTGACAGGACAATGGGGAATGGGAAAATTTCATGGGAAAGCCTCAGCATGAGAGGGACCCATCCTGGAGATGGGAACAAAGCTCCTGCTGGTGAAAAATTAAACCTTGGAGCTGCTGTGCCCAGTGAACAACCTGTGCCCACCCATATGTGGGAACTGGCCTTAAAATTATAAATTTCAAATATAATTATAAAATTATTGTATATTATATATAATAATATTACTATGATATGTTATATGCAATATATATTCGATACTATATACTGTATAGTATATAATATATACTATATAATATATAATATAGTGTATATATAATATATAATGTATAATACACGTTATATATAATTATATAAATATATTTATAATATATTATAAATATATACTTTATATAATATATAATGTAATTATATATAATATTGTATATTATATATGTTGTATATTTAGAATATAATTATAAAATTAAAATATGCACTTGTAGAATGAAAATATACACTTATAAAATTAAAATATAGATTTATAGAATTAAAATATACACTTATATAATGAAAATATGCACTTTCCAGACTCTATAATGCCCCTCACTCTCTTGCCCTGGAGGCATCAAGAGTAGCTGGAGCAGAGGGAAGGGCTGAGCTGAGAAAGGGATGCAGTGAGGCCACAGGCAGGGATGCTCTGAGCTCTTGGACCATTTTTTTTGTGGAGAATCCGAGGTTGTTGCCCCATGGGAGCCTTTGTGCTGTGAGCCTGGGGGTGCCTGGGGGTGAAGGAATTTCAGTGGACAGCACACACAGGCACCACAGGGCTCTCAGGAAATATTAAGCCTACTTTTCAAAAGCTTTCCCATCAGGAAAAGCCTCAAAGAATTATGTTGATCTAAAGATGCCCTTTATGAAATGCATGTTAATGGGGGAAATAATAAAAAAAAAAGCCTTCTAAAGACTTTAAAGGAAAAAAAAAACCAACCAACCAACCAACCCAACATGCTGCAATTTTAATGAGGAGCTTGTAAACACAACCAACCCCTGCTGGTTTTTTTTCCATTAATTGCCTGTGTCATCATCACAGCTCTCAGCAAAACACCTTGCTGGGCTTGGGGCACCTTCCCAAATCCAGGAGGGCTGAGCAGGGTGATGGGGGCTTTGGAAAAGGCTGGGCTGGGCTCTGACCTTGGCTGGGGAGGGAGGAGGGATGGGATGGGATAATGGGATGGGATGGGA